ATATATATAAATGCTGTGTTTATTTTAAAGTCCCACCATTAAAGGTGAAGGTGGAGAGATAAGGTCTTTGCCCATGTCTGTGTGTGTTTGTCTGCATCATTAATCAGAGATGTGCGCAAGTCTTTTCTCTGCAAGTCAAGTCTCAAGTCTCTTGACCTCAAGTCCAAGTCTCCTCGCATGTATCACTTAACTGGCAGTTTGTTCAAAGTTATTCTAACTATACTAGATTATATTCTATAATACTATATTTTAATCAAATATTAAAACATAGTATTATGTTTTAATAAGACTATTAAAACGTAATACTGTTTTAAAAATATAGATAAAGTTGAAATAACAGCAATCAAGCATTTAGTACTGTTAACTGTGTTTTGCACTTGCAATCTTACAAAAGCATATTGCAGTTATATCTTGCCATTGACAAAGAACAAATCCAACAAGTCTGCTGCTGATTTCACAATAAAATACCAGAAAAATAAGTATTTTTAAATGCATAAAAGCATGTCAGTGAAGATGATGAAGCAGAATCCTTRAAGTCAAAGGGTYACACAAGTCATTACAAAAACAAGTTTTGGATTTGGACTCCAGACCCTTTATATTTTGTCAGTCTCTTGTCATGGTGKTGAATAAAGTCTCTGTAAGCAAAGCTTATAATGAATATACTGCAGCACACCTGCCATGCTGAAGCTCTGTTTGTCACGTGGGGTACACGTCATTAACATTAGACGGCGCTGGCCCCTCCCATTCTCAGGTGAGGGGGAGCGGAGTGTATAGAAKAATTATTCTGACTTTAATAAGAGCGAATATTTTCAATTTGAGAGCAGGAAGTAAATGTCTTCRCTCTTAAAACTTTATGTATTTGTTCTCAAAGGAGCGGAGCATGGAGGTGTACTGAGGGAGTGAGAATCRTGAGCCGRGCAGTGAAAAGACTTGCATTGTTCGCAAGTCTCACATCACAAGTCCAATCAAGTCTAAGTCTCTAATAGTAGGGACTTAAGTGCGACTCAGGTCCGAGTCACGAGTCACGAGTCCCCATCTCTGATGTCTATTTTTCCAGATGTTGAGATAAAATTTAATGTGGTATGAGACTGRGCCCCAGTTTACAGGATATGCTGGGCGCTAACTGATTGCACAAATCTCCTGTTTAAAACTTAGCAAATTATCAATTAACAGTTGTGTCTATTAGCAAAGTAATGAACCACTGGTTGGGTTTTAATGAAACTTTTCAGTGGAGGAATTAACTTTTGGACCCAATTCAAGATGTCCGTCACAACCATAAAAAAAAAAGGCTGGTACTCTGCAATTTTTGTGAATATTGATTTAAAAAATTGCAGCAGAAGTAACACACATTTTGAGCACTATTGTGCGACACCTTTGTTTTAAAGCCTTAATTGGCACTAGCTGAACCTGGCTTGTCTGCTAGCAAAAAAACATCTCATAAACCAATTTCCATTAGTGACTGCTAAAACTTTTAGAGTGTAGGCTGCCACAGGTATACACAAACATGACGTCAATGAATTTTACAGGTATAGACAAAAAATTAGGCGTGGTAGTAGCTGAGAGTCATTGACAAGACTTACTCTGTGTGAAAGGCTCACGATACAGCCATATGGCAATAAATGTTATATTAAATGTTTGAYCAAAATGACTACAAGTCTTTTGTCTGATTTCACTCTAAAACTGCGGCCTGACAGGAGGAGGGTGATATGCATTCCTCCAAGGAATGATAGATCTTTAATGTTGAGGAGATGGTGATTTTTTTAAATATATATTTTATTTTATTTTATTTTTTGCCAACATATTGGTGTCATCTTACCTCTAGGTTCTCCAGCCGACCCTTGAGGCTCTGCATGGTTTTGCCCAGCTGGTCTATGGTCTCGCCGGGGTCCCGGGGCAGGTCCCCCATGGTGTTCTTGCCGTACTCCTTCCGCCTGGATCCCTGACCCCGGGACTTGGCGTGCGCCGTCTCGTCGGCCGCCGCCTCGCAGCGCGCCAGCTTGGAGTTCAGCTCCTTGATGGTCCCCTGTTGGCTCACGATGGTCTCCTTCTGCTGCAGGATGGTCTCCCGGAGCTGCAGGATCGTGTTGCGCAGCTCGTCCTCCACGGGTCCGATGCTGCTGCTCTGAACGCGGTTCCCGGTGGGACCGTAGCCGCAGCCGGGCTCTGCGCCCGGGGGGATGGCGTTGCACACGAAGCGGCCACCTGTGGCTTCCTGGCTGCGCACCGCGGAGCACAGCAGGGCTGCAACTACAACCAGCATCCCGGCGTGGAGTCCCACAAACATAAATCCTTCTAGAATTATATGGGTGGAAATGACCCAAATTAAAAAAAAAAAACTTTTATTTTGCCACAACTTATTAGTTTAACTCAACATTGTCCAACAAATGTTAGCAAATCTTATGAGAAAAAATAAATCCCATCCCAGTCCGTGAGAATCATTCTCCTCCACCAAGCTCACCAACAAATCAGAATTCTTGCAGCTTGAACAAACTCGAGTAAATCAGAGTTTTTTTGTCCCCCAGTTTGGAAAAAAAAGTTGGCCCCCGGTGGTTTATCTTCAGGGTGGAGTAAAAACCTCGGCCCGGCCGTCCTCTCCGCTCTGCTGGACCGTCAGTGYTCGGTGCTGAACAGACAGCGACGCGCCGCAAACACACGTTATTATTAAGAGCAGGGCGCGCGCTTCCGCTCATCATCCGCGCGCTCTGGTTTGTTCAGCTTCAGCCAACGTCATCAGCGGGTCTCGGAGGGTCCGAGTCTGTGACACGCTGCGAGCGTCTCATCCGTGTGTGAGAGGAGAGAACTCCAACAGGGGGCTACAGATTTCTACACGTTTTGGAAAAAATTTGAACTTTATGAAATTACATTTAATTTTAGAAAAAGTTTATTTGACAGCACACAGGTTTTTATTTTGATTAAGATAAATAAAAAAACAACTGGCAGATTTTTTCTGAGTAAAAAAAGTCAAATAAAAGAAGAGTCCTTTAACCTCACAGGTTGGGTTCAGCGGAGGTGATGTGAACACAACATCTTACCTGCTGCTGCAGATAATTGTTGAGTCTCTTTAGATAAATAAAGTTTGTCAATTTAATGTCATAAGGATCAGATGAAAATTTGAAAAAGTAAGGAACCTAACTATTTTTTTACATCGATGATTAATGTGTCCTTAACATAAAGATGTGTAACCAAAAATTGTGAACTGTTGCCGGCTTAGCTTGTTTGTGAAAATAGCTAAATCAGAGTTACCGAGAAAACCCACAAAAACACAAAGGGAACATGCAAACTCCACACAAAAAGACCTTAGGGCTGAACAGAGGACCTGCTGTGAGACAGCAGTGCTGACCCCTGAGCTGTCATGCTGCCAACTACAGCAGTGGTTCCCAAACTTTTTGTCTTCTGACCCACAAAATATCCAAAGCAAAAACTTGTGACCCCAAATATTACTGGTCTGAGTACACAAACTTTGTTAATAACCCTAAAAACACAGATGTTTTGACAATCTAAACAGCTTGTACACAAATATAAATACTTATTTTTACTTATTTTGTGTTTTTGTAATAATTATAGGGAAAATATTACATCAGCAATTATTTTATTACCCTTTAAATTGATTTCTGGAGATTATCCAAGGTGCTTCATGACCCATAATTGGGTCCCGACCCTAAACACTGGACTAGAGCATCCCAATGATTTAACATGAACATTTTGTTATACCATTCTACTAGATGACAACAGGTGCTTCTGCTGGGGACTCTTTTAATCTGGTGGGGGACTTCGATGCTCCTGTGGGTAGTGACAGTGTGACCTGGAGGGGTCACAGCCACTCCCATCTGAGCCTAAGCAGTGTTGTTGGACATCTATAGTCATAGTTCGTCCATCACAAGCACCATGACCAGATCTGCCCTGATTTCATCCAGATGTTGACTTGGTTGACACACCTTTGCAACATCAGGTGGACATTTGGAGCAATGCCACTGGATTGGCACGACTGGTGGGGTGCGGGGG